CATCTCCACAGCAGAGCCGTTGATGATGAGCGAGGGTGGGATGTATGCTGACTCATCATTGCTGCTTATCATGTCCTGCACAGTTGTGTCATCAGGGTACTTCATGATGTGGTTGAGGTTGTGTGACTTAGCACAGTCATGAGTCAGCAGAGTGAAAAGCAGAGGTGTTAACACACGGCCCTGTGGAGCGCTCTGTCAGAAAGTCCACAGTGAACGTAACACATAGGGCTCTTACAGTTACAGTTAGCTCTTCTCTGTCTGCGATGTCAACAGCAAAAACTCAGGAATGGCATCACATAAACATCAAGTTAATCAGCTTAGTAGGATAGTGCAGAGCCCAAAAGTGTGAGGTTGTGAGTTGAAAGCTTTAGTTTGTCTCCTTTTATGCTAAAACAATTCTTGAACTTTGTATTGCTAGAAAGTCTAACAGTGACATCCAGGCAGTGTTTAGGAAGTACCTTGATCTGACATCATTGTAATGTCTGCAAGATCTGTTCAACTTTAACTTAGGAAGACTTTTTTTTTTTAAACTTGCAGGGTTTGCAAAGGAAATGGGGAAGCAGCTTTTAGTTCATGTCTGAACTAACAAATCAATCTGTTCAGAGAGTAACTGAGTTTATTTAAGTGAAACATCTGAAGCAAACAAATGGCTCATAATGGTAGACTCCACAATAGTCCAGCACAACAATGAGTACAAGCGTAGAACATGTTCAACCTGTAATTCTGTGGACAGCAGGAGACCACAGTGAGGCGGAGAGGAGAAAACAAAATAACTGTGTTTTATGAAAGAAAATACAGTTGCGTTACAAGCGTGCGGCTGTCCTATATAACTCCTCCCTGATTCAGCTGGCAGCATCATTATATTAAATTTCATGTTGGGAGATAACCTTTTTTGTTTTACAGTAGGTGCCCTGACTGGCCTACAGTCTACTGCAAAAGTACAATCTGCAGAGCAACCCTGTGGTAGTGTTAAGAAATTTGTACCAGTATTATATTACTGTTAATGCAATGTAGCAAATGCATGCGCACTCATGTGTATCCTAAAATAGACATTCTGCTTTGCACTCCTTCTGCTGATTCTGAAGCATGGTCAGGCATGCTAAACTGTTTCTGAAGGACTCTGGCTTCTGTCACAAATCAGATAATAGATAAGATGTGCATTACTGAACCAAGCACAAAGTGCTAAAAATGACACTATATCCTTTAGTTCAGTGACCAGTTTATTATGAATCCGACATGGTCCAATTATAGTTTTTACTAGTTTTGTATACTTTCTTGTCTTGGTTGTGGGCTTCAGGTCATTGTCCTATTGCAAAATGAACCTTTATCACACTCCGAGCTCCGAGATCCAGAGCACTGTAGAGCAGGTTATCATCAAGGATGTCTTTGTACATTGCTGCATTCATTTTTCCATTTACTCCCACTATTCTCCTAGTTCCTGGTGCTGAAAAACATCCCCAGAGCATGATGCTATGCTTTACTGTAGGGATGGCATTTCCGCAGTGATGAACGGTGCCGGGTTTTCCCTTGACCCGAGCATTCTCTTTCCCAGCGCGTGACATACCGGCAATTTGTCATGTCCCGAGGCATCTCATAGCAATGTGAAAGGTACCCTTTGGCGTCCTTATGATACGCTCCAGATTCTCAGTTGAATCCAATAGAATGCCGCTCGCAGCGGTAACACACGCTCCAGCCCTTACCCTAACCTTAACCCTAACCATAACCTTAACCCAGTCAGATAGTGTTTTCCAAAGCAATTCATGATCAGAGAGTAAAACACATTTGCATATATAGATTCATTCCAAACGGCTCTCATGCCTCTGAATGCGTAACATCCTGACGATTTATCTTATCGCATGGGTATGTTACGAGTTGGGATGAGAACGTGTTGTCCAGACATGATGCTTGGCATCCAGACCAAAGACTTTAATCTTTGTTTCATCAAACCAAAGAATTTTGTTTCTCATGGTCTGAAAGTCCTTCAGATGCCTTTTAATAAAAGTATAAAACCATTTGTAAAAATGCTTAACTGTATAACTTTCAGAACTGCTTGGAGAGTGGTGAAAATGACGTTTCTGATGTAAGAAATTACATCTAAACATTACTAAAGCAATTGAGAAAAAATGTAATGAAATAAAGTATCTACAGTTCTGACTGACAAAAGTACAAGCTGTTTTGATGAGTTGTGAGGTTCAAGTAAGAAGTGCGTCAGCATAATTACAAATATATTTAGTTGTGAAGTATATGTAGATAGAAATAATGAGAAATGCAATTGAGTGGGGAGAAAAGTGTTTCTGATTTGAGAACTGCATTAACAGTAGTGAGACAACTTCTGGATGTGAGAACTGCATCAAAGTGATTGACGTTATGTAATTTTTTCACTGCCTCTTCTTTGGTTTTATCAAAACCTTTGTAACTCCTACATCCATCCATACAGGTCATTTTGGTCTTTCACCCTAAACCTCTTGGTGGTTCACTTTGTTCTAGACTGAAAACTAAAACAGATTATGAGCTTTGAGCTTGTGAACTACAGAATGCACTATTACAGTTATTAAAGTTTTATATTTTCTAACGAGTCTTTCAAAGGTCTAATTTTATACTTATTTTAGTGAATTAAAATGTTTTTTGTGATTAGTTTTTAGTTTAGTTTCAGCTAACTACAATAACCTTGTGCACTACTAATACATTTGAAATCTCTGGACTTTATTGAAAGTTTTAAAGAGCGCTTCAAGGCTTATTTGTATAGGTTTGCTTTTAGCTAGTGCACACTGTTGTGTGTTTTCATTTTAATTTAGAGTATTTTTAGCTTTTGGTTGTAGTTGTGAAATGTGTTGTGATCCTTTTTTTTAAAATGCTTTGAACACATTTGCATATGTGTGCAAAACGCTCTACATCTTAGTTTTCATCTCATTTAACTTTCAGATCACATTTTCAGTTTTTTTTTTGTTTTTTTTTTTTTACAGCAAAGGCAGTGTCATGTGTGCAAATATTTGAGCTTTCTTATTCCTGTACCTACTACCAGGGTGACCACATATTGTGAAGTCATGAGAGGCTCAGCGAGCATGTGAAGATGTCCCAGAAGGCAACTAAAAGTAAGCCTTTTTGCTCTCTGTGATTGTTATTTTTCTTTTTTGTTGCTGTTGTTGTATTTTCATTGCATTTTTTTAACTTATTGTCTTAAGATCTTTTTTATGATTTTCTCTGTGTGAACAGCAAATTTGATGATTGGGATTTTTAACATGCCCTAAATTCACTGTTGTTTAATGTGAGATACTGCGAGATCAAACTGGACTTCTTGAATATTGTAGAACTGAGTGTGTTTAGTGAAACTGAACTCAGCTTTACAAAAAACCTGTTTAATCACGGTTAATTCATGATTTAACAAGGGGGCAGGGTTAATTACTTTTTCACACAGGACCAGATAGGTTTTGATAACTTTTTTTGCTTAAAAACTACACTTTGTTTTGACTTTATCTTTATCTAATATTACCGTTTGTTTAATTATCTGAAACATATAAGTATGTGACAAATATGCAAAAAAATAGGGAATTTAAGACGGGGCGGAAACACTTTTTCGAACCACTGTAAAATGTTACCAAAGGCTGTTGCTGGCTTTTCTCTTTACACTTTAAAAACTTTAGCGTTAAATGAATTTTGTAGCAATTTCCATGTATTCCGTGTATAATTTATTGCATGTATTTTTGCACATAAACCACTAATAACACTACAACGTATTATTTTAAACTTGCATCAGGCTAAGTCAGGCTAAGTATATTTATCTGTTTTCAAACACTGTGCAGCACTTACTGGCTGTAATTTATTATTGAATGGAGTCCTTATCTAACTGTCAGAAAGACAGTGGTTAAAATTACCTCCCAAACTCTCTTTTTAATGGTCCTTGGGTTTATTGTTTAATGCCTTGTTATAGATGAAGCTTAAAATATTTAATCACACCTTAAATTGCCCCAAACTTCCCACTATTAGTCCTGTTAGCAGGAAAAAAACCATTGTTTACTGTACAGTGTAGCTTTTGTTAAGGTTCAAATATTGAGGAGGGGTAGAGGAGGTAATCAACTTCCATAATAACAACACTGATCCGGCCGGGTGAAGTCAAATGATGATTTTAATGACACGCGTGGGAAGACCGCCCGCTGTACGCAGACAGCGCCGATCCCCGACTTATAGAGCATAAGCAGGTGTTTTATACCTTTCAGGGCTTAAATTTAATACGCCCCTTCACGTCACTCAGATACAGTTCATACATAGGTTTCAAAACCACAATGACTTAACACAGTTTAAAAATAACATTGTCTCCGTCTCCACAGCAGATGCTTGCTGTCAGCCTTCTGACTTTCACTTCCCGTCTGGAAAACCCTGCAAGAAACTATTCCTTTTTTTGCAGAGACAGCAAGAAACTATTCCTCTTTTACAGAGACAATTTTAGAGTTACAAGCAAACATGATTAACCTCTCGCCTATAAATGAGATAAAGTCTACTGTGTGTTTGTCAGCATGAACTGCACTCAGTTTCAACTTGAAGGCCAGCACGTACACATTTCAGATTATAACAAGCATTCAAAAGCATTTAGATTATAGATTTAACTCAACAGTTTAGAGTGGTTATAACTGCACCTGTAATAAATGCTAATCGGGTACCAATATGTTTAAATATCTGAATACAATATCAATACTGCAGATTGTATTATTAATGCAATGGTAATGATGATGATTATTAACAATAGCAGTAAAATTATTTCTAATCCCCCACACTTTACCACTGAACCTGATGAGAAGAAAGTCCAAGCACAGCAGTCTTTAGAGCAGGGGTAGGCAACCTTTTTGATGGCGAGTGCCATTTAAAATTTCCTCAGAAGTCAGTGTACCATATGATTGTATTAGCAATAAATTTAATAACGCTCTGTATTAACAGTTACACACTATATAGAACCACTTTATAGAATTATATTTGTTTGCAGATGCTTGCAGCTATCAGCGAATAGTTATCAGATATTTTGAAACAAAAAAAGACACTTTTTATCCATAACAAGAACTCCATAAAAGCAAATTAACTGTACAACAAAAAATACAAATGCTATTTATGGTCTCCTCACAACAATGATAAGAAAAATAAACTGGGCCAATATGGCATGTTTGTTAATACACATATCAATCTGATCTCTGGTCTCCCACTCAGAGACACAGGTCTCCGAGTGTCCAGCATTCAGACGGCTACCTGAGGACACTCATGTGAGAGAAAATTTGCTCACACAGATTTGTGGAGCCAAATACTGTCAATAAGGTCTCTGCAATGTTCTGAAGACAGTTAAACTTGTCAGGTAGTCATGTCCAGCTGGTGAAAATGCAAGCTCCATGAACACGCACAGCTGTGGATTCCAGCTGCTTCGATGTTGCTGGTATTAACTCAGCCAGTTAATGCGAGACAAATCCAGCTGCTCATTAAAGATTTCTGGTTTGATCAGAAAAGAAAACATTGGTCCATACACCTGAAAGTCCCAAAAACGCATTGTGTCTCGAGTCTACGGATGTATCTGTGTATTTCCATGGTGCTGATGCTGCGCTGAGCGGACAGCTCCTCAGTTTCCTCTTTCTGGCACAAAGTAGGCGATAAACAAACAAGAGAGAAAAGCCGATCAGCTGATCATTGATCAGTTTCATGATTAAAGTAGCAACAGGAGAGAGAGAATGAGAGAAGAAGAGGCAGCTGTGCAGCGTAAAGACAGAATAACTCCACCTTTGTGTCTTTTTCCATTCTAGCTGAAGTCCGGAACAAACTGCGTCCCTTCTCAGCTCAACACGAAACACGTAATAATTTCTCTGAATGCGGGATTACACACCGGCCAGCAACTGGCCAATCCACCACCTTTCATTTATACCGTTACAAAAAAAAATAAAAATCATCGGCCCACCGAGCAAATGCCCGGTATGCCTGATGGCCAGTCCAGCTATGGTCGTGCCATCAGTTAACCCTTTGCATGCCAACTGTGGTACGCGTGCCTAGAGTTGCCAACCCCTGATTTAGAGTAATTTCATGGAGATGTTGTTAAAAAAAAGAAAAAAAAAAGAGAAAACTTTTGATGCTCCCAAATGCATATTAACATAAGTCCAATATATCAAATGATACTCATATACAACCCTCATTCCATACATGTGCTATGTAATATGTAAATAAAAAGAGAATGCAATGGACCCATATTTTATTCACAATAGAACATAGAAAACATAATGAATGTTGAAACTTAACGAACAAAATAAGTCATTTTGAATTTGTTGGCAGCAGCACGTTCAAAAAAAGTTGGGTAACAGCTGTGTTTACCACTGTGTAGTATCCTTGTTTCTCTTCTTCTTTGCCTCCGTTGTATTTTTGGTTTCATGATGTGTCAACTGTTTTCAGTTGATGAAAGGTTTGGAGTGCTTTTCAGCACATGTACTTTTCTGCTATGAAACTGTTGTAACACAGGTGGTATGTGGTTTAGCATCGTCTTGCTAAAATATGCACAACCTTTCCTGAAAGGTTGGATTGGAGCATATGTTGATCTTAAACCTGTATATACACTTTCAAATTTCAGAAATGGTTTGTAGACAAATTTGTTTGCAGATTGATGAACCTCTGCCCAGCTTTACTTCTGTCAAACTGCCTCTCTAAGGTGCTCTTGTTATTCCCAATCATGTAACTAACATGTAGTCAACTAACCGAATTAGTTGCAAAATGTTCCCCCAGCTGTTTCTTTTTAGCACCACTGACTTTTTGAGCCCTTTGTTGCCATCGTTTTCTAATATTTTTCATGAAAAAGTAGAATATCTCAGTTTAAATATTTGTTATATGTTCTGTTGTGAATAAAATATGTGTTTATGAGATTTGCAAGTCACTGCATCCTGTTTTTTCAGTGTATTTAAAGAATTCAAACCACTTTTGAGAACATCGTATCGTAATTTGTGATTTTCACTCTTTGCTGTTAAAAATAAATCCTAGCAGATGGACAGTTTCCTATAAGCCTTTGCATTTGTCTTAATTTGGAAAGTGATATTTGAATGAAAATCAGTTTCATTGGCATTGCCCATACACCTGTTTCAAAATGGCACGTCAGAAAAAGCAAACAACATAATTTGCATAGAAGAAGACTGAGTATCGTCTCTCAGGTGTTGCCAGAAACTGACTCTACTTTCATAACCTGGTATGTTTGCTTCTGTTTTTGTCTTTGTCTGCTCCAGTATGGTGGCCTAGGCTTCTCCCAGTTCTTCTGTTCTTCGTCACCTTTGTCATGTTCTACTGTTCATATGCCTTGATTCAGAGGTAATCTCACACAAAGACACACTCTAACACAAACATGTCTTTCTTTCTTTCTTAATTTCTCTGGTATTGAGTCACAGAATCACAGTAGTACTCATTTCTCAGGATTTCTGGCCAGTGCTGAGTCACTAAAATCTGAGAAGACAGCCTATTCACAAAGTGGTCTGAGCTGCTAGTCAACCAAAGCCTCACACATAGCAATTTTTGCACTTTTTGAGCATTTTGGACTAAATTACTGGCACTTTCCATTTTCACTGATTCAGCAGTAGTTTTCATGCCAGCTGTGGCAACTGTCTTTCAGCTATGGAGGCACCAGCAAGTCTCCCAGCAGTAGCAAGTCGCTGTGTGGTGGCTGGCTAACCCAGAAGAAATGGGAGAGCCTTAACTTTAAGTGAGTAATGGCATGTCTGTGTGTTCTTTTTTCTTTTTTTTTGGGAAACTGACTTATTAAAGGAGTGGTGTATACCAGTGTTTTTATTTGAACAGAAAGTGCCGAGTTCCTTCAAACTGGACTGCTCTGTACCAGTCATGACAGAAAAGCACATTTTACAGAGAAGAAGCAGGAGTTATGTTTAAAAAAAGAGTTTCCATCTAAATAATGGTTACAGTAAGTTTCAGTCATTCCAGTGGAATGTCTTGAGAAAAAGCCAGAGAGGGGGAGTTAATGTGAAAAACTAATTTTGGCTAACAATGTCTTCATGAGATATGCATATTTTTTTTATAACTTGATAATGTCTAGCCCGTTTTGTTAACTAATCCCTGTTTCACATTCTCTAACATGCTCACAGTTATCTATCTTTTAGTCTCTTATCAGTTTATAGACCTGTATATTTACTCACCTTTATTCTTGGCTCTGCTCTATTAGTAAAAGGGAATGTGTGGTTTGGCCAAACCTCATCCAAGGTCACTGTTTATTTATTTAGCCCAGTCGACCTTCCACCGACCTTCCACCGCCTGCCCTTTAACTAGGGATGGGTACCGGTATCCGGTGCCATGATGGCACCGGTTCTGACATAAACGGTAGTAACCAGACCGAAAAGCAGCGCACATTTCGGTGCTTTATTTCGGTGCTTTTTTTTTTCCCAAGATGTGATACACTTT